ATCTCACAAGAATCTTCTTCAAAGGATTAAAGACATCACTGTTCTGTCTGCTGCTCTGACTTTATCTGTGACACAAAATCATTTTTCTCTACAGAGAATCCTGGTTTGTCCCACAGCAGTGGAGCCAATGCAATTATGTCCCTTCACTGTGATTGATTAAAATAATTTGAATCAGTTGTCTTTGCAAAGAGAAGCATAGAACATTCTCCACTGGAAAAATTCGTGGAAATATTATCATTATAAAGTTTATTTGATAGGGACAGACACACATCGACATAGACAATCTGAATAAAACAACTGTACACAGGACACTTTGTGTTTCTGTATACAGCAGTAAAAAAATAAAGAGCTTTAATATGAGAGCTGCTGTCCATCAGTAAATTTAGATGTCGGTTATTTGGATATGTGAAATAGCCTGAGGCAAATAGATGACAATAAAGACAACACAAAGATTTTACAAACAATCTTCCAGGTTTGTTCTGGTTCTCATCTGCTCTTGATTATCTTTAGATTTGAGCACGATGTTTTGCTTCTTGAGGTTTGTAGCCTAATTCATGCTCTACTTAAATCATTTCTTGATTCTGTATGTTTGATTTTAATCTAAGGAGTGCAGTTTGTAAAGCTACCGTCAAAAATGAATGATTTGGGTTATTTTGCCTATCAAAAGAAAAGATGGGGGCAAATGTTTCAGTCATTTTTCACCATAGTATTCCTTCATTTATAAATGTCACTGTTTCAAACTGAATATCTTATCAAGATGAATGAAAACTAAATATTTATCTCCCAGCAAAATATTTAGTTAGAAAATTAAATAATTAGCCATCAAGCTAAATATTTAGCTTCAAATTAATTATTTAGTTTGACTAGTGTGGAGATAAATATTTAGCTTGCTAATAAGTATTTAGCTTAAACTAATACTCAGAAATAAATTATTTTGAAGCTGAATTCTTTAGCGTCTTAGGTAGCTAGTTAAGTAATTATTAAATTTGATAACTATGTATTTAGTTTAGAGCTAAATATTTGGATTTTGGAATAAATATGTAGCTAGTTCCAATATTTAGCTTGGATCTAAATAACATGTTGAAAATATGACTGAAAAATTAACCCACAGGCTAAATAACCCAAATTATTGCTGTAATTTCTGACAGTGTAACTTTACAAAAGGTAACTAATCAGAAAGTGGTTTGATGTTAAATTTTATTCACAGTTATTCACAATTTAATGAGAGTAGGAATTTGTTTTCATTAAGGACCAGGTTGGTTTGGATCGCTTCTTTTCTCTCATTAAATAATTATTTAAAAATAGATTTTTGTATTTACATACATTTGTCTGGAATTATAATTACTGAAAGTAGTTGTTACAGAACTTGGATTCTGTTTAGAAATCAGATTAAAACCAAGCTTTCCCTGGAAAGCATGTGTTGTAATTAAAAGTATGACCCACTTTTCTGCAAACTCTTCAGGATTTCCCTAAACTGCTGATTGTAAACATCATTTTAATAACGAGGCTAGTATTTCTTTTATGAATCCTGTGGATGCTAATAAAACATTCCCTGAATTTGGCTCCAGATGGGGAGGATCTTCGTTCCATTTAAAAACGGTCAGCTGCTTAAAAAAAATCTCAAACCACATTTGCTCTCATCTCCATCAACGCTTCTTCGCCTGGTAGGTCAAATCCCTCTGCAGACATGTGATTCAGCATCATTTTTCAGCTCATTTATTAGATTTTTAAAGTATAACTGTCCTAAAGTGAAGCTTGCTACCAATTTAAAAATTGCTAATTTCAAAGAGTAAAATTAACCCTACTGTTATACCATTTCAGTTCATTTTTCCAAACTAATTTGGCTGATTTGTTTCTATACTAGGTGTTTCTTCTTACTTTTCAATGCTGTCTTTAGTGTTCCTTTGTAATGTGATCACATCCAACCCTCCAGCTGAAATGCTAATCTTAATCCTTGTATCTTATTTTTTTTGGTAAAATAATGTTTTTGGACATCCAGATGCAGAATTTCTAATTAGAAACTAATTTCTTTGTTGTGGAGATATTTAGCTAAAACCTGTCTGTCTCTATAAGTTTAATTTTTCTCTGATATTTCACAAAACAATCAGCATGTCTGGTTAAAAGTTTTAATCTACTCATAAGGAGCATCAATATTATATTAGTTTTGGACTTTATGTATTTGAATTTTTTTTTTTTTTCAGGAAATAATTATGCAATACATAAATACAAGAATTTTTAAAAACTACTAAGTCGAAAATTGTACCAACAAAATCACAACATAAATAATATTGAAACAGAAGTTAACAGAACAACTCTGAATTGTGTTGTTATGTTGAAGCTTTTGTATTTATTGAACCATCTAGGCCACCGTATGAATCAAAATCCAGAACAAGGAAAAGTTCAAGAAGATCTTTCAGGACGGAGACGCGTTTCTGCCAACTTCCTGAAAAGAGCCGAATTTCCCATCACTACTCAGGATCTTTCTGAGACATTAGTACTTTAATCCTGGAAATGTTCATCAGGTGACAGAAGGCCGACTTTGTAACCGTCTTTATGCAACTCTGAAGGTTCAGGTCAGAGTTTATCACTACACCCAGATGTCAACCTGACCTCTAGTTTCTATCTGTAATAACTGAAGCTGTGTGTTAACTTTGGACCTAAAAAGAGTTAATAACTTCAGTTTCTGTTCAGCTGGAGAAAGGTATGGGACATTTATTGGTTCTAAGCTTCCGTTTGGAGTCACCAGGTAGGCATTAAATGGAAGGGAGCCCAGGCTGAACCTTGGGGGACCCCACTTATGACTCTTCTCCACTCCAATGATAAGTTTCCTATAAACCTAAAGAAATCGCTGCTCTTTGTGTCAGACTGAACGTATCTGATAGTTTTCAAAGTGTCTGCAGTCTGATTTTATCCAACCTTTACGTCATTGACGTGAGACGTGTCATAATCTACATCAGAAGACGCTAGATGCGATAAACCCGACATAAACAATGGCTGAAAATTATAATAACGAACTGATGAAAGCAGTCTGAGTCAGTGAACGCATCACATCCCAGTGCAACCAGTCTGGTCCAACCCCACATCCAAAATGCCGTTTCTGTTAACTGGGTTTCCTTCATCTTGCTTTGATTTTGTGACAATCCTGTCGGCTTCCATTGCTGAAAATACTTTAAAAGCCCTTCATAGACATTAATAAGGGCGGCGGCCATTATTAATGTCATAAACAGAGCGCTGATGTTTAACATCTCCGTTCTTCTTCTGCACATACGGGTCGCTTTGGGGTCGTAAACTGTTCACCTAGAAGTCTGACTGTTAGATTAACTAGAACAAAGAACCACTCAAAATACATATATAATGGAACTGAGCATCAAGACCTGCTGTGTGAGTTTATATGGAGCTCAACTGGGGTTGTAAAGTTTGTTCAAAAGAAAAATAATTTTAATTGAAAAAAGATTTTGAAACTGAAAAATGTCTGAAACTGAAAGAAGCCTTGAATCTGAAAAAAATATTTCTTTTTATTTTCAATATTGTTTTCAGTTTCAAAGCTTTTTTTAAGTTTATAATCTTTAATTCTAAAATCTTATTTTCAATTTCCAAATCTTTTTTCATCACTTTCAAATAATTTCTTTCCAGTTTCAGACTTTTTTTCAGTAATTAAAACATTTTTTCTTTTGAAAATCTTTTTTTTTCCACTTTCAATTTTCTTTTCTTTTGAATAAACTTTATGTCCCCAATTTAGCTCCATAAACAGCTTCTGTGTGATCTGACCAACACACACAATTCCTTTAAAGGTCAGTAAGACCCATAGAACCCTATGATAAACTCAAAGCGTTGTCATGGGAACGGGAAACGACCAACCAGCTGTTGGGAGCTTGTTTAAAGTCATCTGATTGGAGTATTTGTTTCCGCTGCGGATTTTTCTGGAGACAGAGCGCCGTTTGTGCTCTGGTGCTTTTCCTGCTGCTGGGATGCGATCCCGTCACATGGGACCACAGCAGAGAGATCTTCACCAGTGAAGCTTTGAACTACGTGCTGCTAGAAGCACAAGAGAAAATGGTGAGCTTACTATGTTCTACCTGTGCTTTCTGTAGCTTTCTATGATATTGCTCAGGTCACACTGAAATTTTGGACTTTTGTTGCTTTAAACTCTTTCAAATGGATTCAATGTGGTTTTCCACCAAAATCTACAAAAAGGAACCGTTGCCTACATTTTATTACCTTAAAAAGTGGCCTATTATGCTTCATGAACAGGTTAGAATAAGTCTATGTTCATTACAGCTGACATTTCATTTTTTTGCAAAAAATCTCAATTCAGAGTGAGATGTTTTAGGAGAAAGTGGTTTCTGGATAGAAAGTTGACAACAAAACACTTGTCTTTTCCAGCAGCCATTGTACAGCACACGCAGTGGTAAAACCAACTGACCAAACGTGCTGTAACTCTCCTTGGATTGCTAGGTAACAGGGCAGTGCCTGCCGATTTGTGACTTTACATTCCATTGGCTTTTGATACAGATCATTTTCTAGACACCAAAATATCTATTTTAGTTAATTGGTCCTTATGGGTTTAAAAAAAGAGGGTCTGGTGCTGAAACTAATCAGTTTCGTAGGAATTTGCAGCGTTAGATGAACGTAGCTGTGCACAAGGCACTCACTCAGACAACTATTTATGTCATTTAATAATTAATAAATACCATTCATTAATGGTATTTATTGAAATACCATTAATAAATATTTTATATACAATTTTTATATTGCTAAAGGTACACAGAAGCAATGTATGGTGATCTTAATGACATTATAAACACTGGCTTTTAGATATTTGTTAAAATAAAACAGCCACTGTGAAAATAAAATAAACCAGCAACTGTTTTATTTTATAAAAAGGATTACATCTACGGAATACATGAAGCTACAAATAGCTACACTAAAATTAAATACGAGCTGTATTTATGGTTACTGTCACTTTAAGAGACAAGCTGTTGGCGGAAATGAGTCCGGCACTCAGATTCATCCGCCGGCGTATTTCCCCTCAGGACAACGGTCATCGCGAAGCTTCAGACGAGGACCTGCTCGTTTTATTAATTACCATTCTGCTAAAAGTAGTTAATTTGTCTCCATATTTTCAAAAGGAATAAAACTAATTTTGTATAAAAATAAATCAAACGGTTAAATTTTGATGTTACATCGAGAGGGAGTGATTAGGATGGCTCCGATGGAAACCGGTGAGTCAAAACACGTCTTAAATTTCGCAACTTGTCAATATTAAACCGTTTTATGCCACAAACTAGTCGACAAAATCCAATCAAGAGAAAATATATATATATATATATAAAATATATATAGATGTTCAAAGAGAATGAAATCCTATTTACTATTTCAACCCGGGTAACTAAAGACGAACCTAATTTTTCTCGTCACCTCGAGGAGAAAATGTAGGTTTTTATCGAAGTAAAGTTAATGACGCCACCTAAAAAGCAACCTAACACATTAAACTTTGTTTATTAGTACAGAGTGTGTTTGAATGAATTAAATGCCACCTTCCTTCAGCAGCAAAACTGACGGTCCTTTTTAAATAATTTATTCAGTCACATCCTCTTTTTTACCAGCGTTTCTTCATTGAAGTTTGAGTTAATTATCTAATATTTCACTCTACAATATTTTAGTAAACAGAATAAAAACTGCAAGGTACCGAGAAGTCGAGGCTGCATCGCAAGCCCAAATCATCATCCCTCCACTGCCGTGCCTCATAGCTGATGTGGAGTTTGGTGTTGTTTTGTTGCACATGTCTAAAGAAAAGGTTTCCAAACTTTGTCATCTTTAGGGGAAGATATTTAGCATCAATTTTTGCATTTACACATGAACAAACGGCAGTTAAACAAAGAAAATGACGATAAGAAATAATATTTCTGCCGTTGTTTGGCGCCCCCTCTAGCACAGCGCCCGTATGGTGGAAACGAGTCTGTGTTTATTATATGAAAAAATCTGTTCTCTGCAGTTGCACCTCTCTATGATCATGGACTCTGAGAACAATGTCCTGTCGAAGGAATACTTCAAGATGATGACGGATATGATCGTGCTGTGCATCACCCTGGCGCTGTCGCTGTCCTTCTGGATCGTCTCGGTCACCATGAGCGCCGTGTCCGGTGAGCCGCCGCAGGGATCAGCTCAGAACTTACCATGTAAAACCAAACCGTGAAACCATGCGCTCTTCCCAGAATCGATCTGAAGCTGCTGCCGTTTCAAAACCAGGTCATGGATATTCAACAGTCCACTGGAAAATATTAAAAATACTATCTGATAGCTAGAGCAACATGGATGTTTTTAAAGTTTTAAATTGGGTATTAATGTTGCTTTGTTAGGGCTGCAACTTACAATTATTTTAGTAATTATTCGGATGAATAATCAATTAATCAAATGAACAATTTGACGCATTCTGCATTTAACGACAAAACTTTCAGAATAAGAAAAAAACATTTTTTTTGCCTAACATGCAATACTGTACCATTTCTCTAGTGAACGCTTGATCACTTGTAGATTAATTGATACATTTTTGCATTAATCAGTTAATAGTTGAAACCAGTTGAAGTTGGTTTAATTTAGTTCTGGGTCACAAATATTTACAGACTTTTTTTTAACTTAAATGTAAATACTTTTCATGAAATTTAGGCTTAATTTCTGCTCCAGTATATTGTTCTTTAACTCCAGTTAACGATTAATCAATTACTAAATTAGTTAGCGATTATTTCAATAATCGATTAATTATGATTAATCATTTCAGCCCTAGTTTATGTAAGTGCAAAATGTCATTTTTATAAGTAAATTCTCACAGAAGGCTATAAAAATTGAGAAAGTGGAAATATTGCCACAGCATGATGCTGCCTCCACCATGGAGGATATTTAAGGAGCTGAATGGAAAAGTTTGAAAACTCACCTGGAAAGTTCTTGAATTTTATTGGGGAAAGTGTTGAACTCTGTTCTTTTCTACACCTATGGAGGCTTGTTTCTGTTTCCCAAAGGGAACCTGCAGCCGGTGTCACCATGGCGATGGTTGTTCTCCATCTTGGTTCCCCTCATGCTGACGAGCCGAGCGCTGAAGAGACGCAGCCTGGACCGGTCCGGAGCGCTGGGCGGTGAGTTGGCGCCGACGCTCAGAGGGAAAAAAATCAGTTTTACTTCCAGGTTCCTCTGCAGACATTTTTACCCGTTATCGTTTCCTTAACAGCTCCAGCTCAGGCAGATCAGATTTTTAAATCTGATTTTGGTCTGCACTTTGACTAGGCCGCTCAACTTTGTAGTTTGTAGTTCCTGAAATGTAATAAATTCCCGTTGGGAGTTTCATTCGAACACTAATAAAATGAGTGAATTCTGATCTAAAAACCTTTTCTGGACGGTTTTAATGGCGATTTAAGCAGCTGACATCATGAGGTCACTCAACACATTCTCCATTTGGTCCGGAACAGATTTCCTCCTTCCCATGAAAACCTGTCATGTCGTTTCCTGTCATGTCGTTTCATCCCATGATAAGCTGCAGCAGAAACTTTTCAGGAAACGAAACAATGCGTGCTGTGTTCACAACGCCTCCAATGAGCCGATAAACTGTGTTAGATTATTCTGAACTTTGGCTCAGAAGATTCTGGTAAGACACTGCTTACACTGTAGCCTCACTAGACCTAAAAACAGCTGCAGCTGTACTCATTTTGCGTCATTCTGCTTCCATAAAAAAACCCACAGATTTAGATCAGACAGCAGCAGAACACTAACCTTAAAAAGGTCAGAGGTCAGCCAACACTTGGACACAGAGGCTCGTTGTTCTCTGAGGTTCTGGTGATTCTGAGCGTGAAAATCAGACATTCTGCAGTTAGAGCTCAGGTCGCCATACTTTGGGAAAAAGATGTTTTTTCATTTTCTTCTGTTGATTTCCTCCTTATATGGATTTATTAGAAACGTCGTTTTTATTCCGGGACAATTATACAACATGAAACTACATCAACTTTTAAAGGAAACAGGTGAATCAGTTTGAGTTTATTGTGGGTTTTAACATTTGATGTTTAGGCTCAGATATGATCCTGAATCTGGTCTGTTTTTCTTGAAAATAAATAAAATATCTTGAATTTTTATCTGTCAACATGTTTTCTGATCAGACTATTATTGGGTGATGGAAACTATGTTTGAAGGAGCCGAGTTGTGGCTTTTAGACTCCATAGCGACACTGTTCCAACTGTCAGGCACGGCGGTGGCAGCATGGTGGAGAAGCTCTGATTTGGTTCTGTTTGCTATTTTTCTGAATATTTGTTCATATTTCTCTTGCATGTTTGGAGAACTGTTTCCTCTGATTCTGCATTTTTGCTTTTTTGGACAGTTGTGATGTGTAACCATGGCAACAAGTCTTTTTTTTATTATTTTACATCTGGGAGCAGCTGATTAGCATCTCAAAGCTCAAATAACAGCTGAGGAGTTGAAAATGAAGTTAGTCATGGATGCAGAGAGAGGAAGATGAAGTTCATTCATCATAACGATCTGATCCCCTACTCCAGCGTCCCTCCACCCAGACAGCAAAAGCAAAGGAGGTGGAGCAGCGCTGCTCATCCAGCAGGACATGTTACTATGGGATATTGCCTCTGCTGACTGGATATCGAGCAGTTAGGATGGTGATGACACTGTCTTCAGTCAGAAGTCTCTTCTGTTATGTTGCAACACTGACTGCTACTGGAGATCCCGTTGCAAATGGTTCAAACGTGGCCACAGAGATCACAAACACTGAGAACGTACAACGATTTGATTTTCAGTTAGAAAACGTAGTGGCAGAAATCTGTCTTCACAGCATGATGCTGCCACCACCGTGCCTGACCTTAGCTCCTGTAAACGACCTGCCTGTGACACGTCTGACCAGAAAACGGATTTAAGAGAACCGCTGCACCGAAGACAAATAAAAATAAATATACAGAAATGAATCAACCTGATACACAGGTTACCTCATGCTTCACCTTTGACCTTTGCAGCTCTCCTGGTGGGCTTCGTGCTGACGATGGCCAACCTGAGCTTCTTCTCCGCCCTGCTGGCATTCTTCTTCACCTCCAGCCGGCTCACCCGGTGGGGCGCCGAGAAGAAGAAGAAGATAGACGCCGAGTATAAAGAAGGTGAGACCATTTAACTGCGATGATGTCACAGTTCTCCTGTGACATCATCGCACTTCAAGGAGCTTTGTAACCGACAGCCATCTTGGTAGGCAGTTGCTATGACAACAATAAACAAGCCACAAGCTTACAACTAGATCTCACCTCATTCCTAGCTTATAAATATCATAAGGACATTACAGCTGTCTGAGTTCTCTGCACTCCTCTGTAAGACAAATATCAGTGATATTTACTGTAGTACTTACTGAAGAACTGGCAAAATTAGCTTAGCTGACGTAGCTTTTACATGTTTGTTACTGCATGTACTCCAACAGCAGCCATTTTGTTCAGGTTTGTCTTTCATATTGAGCACATATTTTCTTTTTGTTGGTTTGAAGCCATGAGTTCGCACTGCCATTGCCTACCAAGATGGCGCAGGTCACTTCTGATTCAAACTTATTATTTATTGTTAAATAAAAAGTTATGAAGCTGAAGGTTCTGTTGCCAGGCGGTCAGAGGAACTGGGTCCAGGTTTTCTGTAACGGCGGCGTTCCTACTGAGCTGGCGCTGCTCTACATGATCGAGGTAAAAACACGAACCAGCCGCTCGCCGTCAGGCTCCGCCCCCTCGCTCACCGCCGCCGCTCTGCTGCAGGTCGGCCCTGGAGAGATTCCGATCGACTTCGGGAAGCAGTACTCGGCCTCCTGGATGTGCCTGTCGCTGCTGGGCGCGCTCGCCTGCAGCGCCGGCGACACCTGGGCGTCGGAGGTGGGGCCGGTCCTCAGCCAATCACAGCCCAGACTCATAACCACCTGGAAGGAAGTCCCAGCAGGTGAGACACCTCTTCAGGTCCAGGGCCTAGTCAAAGTCCAGAGCAAGATCCTGGAGACGAATGAACAACAAGTAAAGGTTTTCACTCAGCTGAATGCAAATGCAGGCCACACTTTTCAGATTTTATGTGTTAGAAGAACAGAGGCGTAAATGATTAATCAGATTAATCGATTGCTGAAATTATCAACTAATTTCAAGAGATGCAAATTTCCTCTGTTCTGCTCTGATCAGGTAATCTACTCTGGATTAGATTATAAATTAAATGATTAATCTAAATAATTGTCAACCAGTTTACTAATCAGGACTCTGAGAACCACACACTGAGCAGTAAATGAGCCAAAACTGTACAAAAATGATCAACAATCGTTTCATTTCTGAAAATTAAATTATTTTTAGAAAATATTTTTGTATCTGAAAATACAAATATGGTCTGAATTTTCTAGAATCTCTTCTGAGATTTATTACTCAGGGTTCTGTCAGCAAATGGCCTCCAAGTCTGAATTCTCCAATTAACAATCAATTAATTCAATTAGTTGATGATTTCTTCAATAATCGATTAATTGTACTACTCGTGATTAATCGTTTCAGTTCTGTAGGTTTAAAAAGCGTCTGAAAAGCTTCCTGAATGTTTTTTTTTACCGTTTCCTCCAGGAACTAACGGAGGCGTGACTCCGGTGGGACTGGCGGCCAGCTTCCTGGGCGGGGCCACGGTGGGCGTGGCCTACTTTGTGACGCAGCTCCTGGTGGTGGGTGACCTGCAGCTGGCCGACCCGCAGTGGCCCGTGGTTCTGTACGGCGGCGTGGCGGGGCTGCTGGGCTCCATGCTGGACTCTCTGCTGGGCGCTCACATGCAGTACTCAGGTCAGTTGACGCTCGCCGTCTGGTTGCCGGGTTAAAGCCGCGTTCACCAACCCGCTGCCCTCTGCGCCCGCAGGCTTCGACTCCAGCATCGGGAAGGTGGTGAGCTACGAGTCGGCCACCACCAGGCGGATCTGCGGGAAGCCCATCATGGACAACAACGCCGTGAACCTGTTCTCCTCGGTGCTGGTGGCGCTCTTCCTGCCGGGCCTGGCCTGGGGCCTGTGGCCCCGGTAGGCCGAGGATACGGACTGTGCGTTTCTGATCATGAGGATTAGCATCATCGTTTGGTAAATTCATTCCTACAACCTGCAGAGAAACGATTCAATCATTGACGTCACAAAACGAGTTAAAATCACTGAGTTTAATAAACTACTGATCATTCTTTGTAAATCTGCTCCGACTCTCTGATTAAATCTTTCACAGCTTTCCATATCTCACATCTAACAGTTCAGGAATGTAACGCTCAAAACTCTGACCTTTATCTGGTCAGTGAACGCACCATGAAGAAATTCGCCCATTTAAAACTTTTGCACAGAACTGCCATCATGTTGAGTGAAACATGTTATCCTGAAGGTGCAGTGGCGCATAGTAACCACCAGGTGGCGTCTTTCCATATGCTCCTACGATGATGCATTCAGGGGATTTATGTAAATGAAAGCGCCTTGGAGGCAACAGGAGGCTTTTTCAGAGATTAAGGTCTGAACTGATGCCAACCTGAGCCTCATGGAGGAATTCACGTTTTTAATTTCAGAGGCAAAAAAGATTCAGGTTTATTTTATTTAGATAAAATATATAAAGGATCAAATTAGGTTTTTTAAACATCTCAATTGTGTTAATTTCTGAATTTTAATTTAATTTCAAGTTTTTTTAAAGGTTACTTTATTTTTTCAACTTTTTTTTCATTTTTTACTTTTAAATATCTTTTTTACAATATTTCTTTACATAAAAAAAATCTACATTTATGTGTAACATTAAATATTTTCTTAACTATAAATACAAGGTTTCCATGAAGGTTTATGGCAGATATGTTTGTCTTAATGGAGCGTAAAAAACCTGAAGATATTTGGATCAAACATTTAAACATTGGTCCAAGTGATGAAGTTATTTTTAATTAACTTTTTTCTGCCACAGTTTGGCAAATAAATTAGCCAAATTCCAGACTTCAGAGGAACCTGAGACTTTTTTATTTGATCATCTATTAATGTGAAATTGTTTCCAGTATCAGACGTCAGTTTCTCTGCTAGAGGAGCGATGGTCAGACCTACCTGCAGAGTTTCTTCATCATGTCAGCCAGGAATCCGCTGCTAAATACCAAAACCTAACAGAGCAGGATGAAGATCCGAAACCACCGGACAACCAAACGAAGCTCCAGCTGCTTCCTGTCGGACCAACAGATTCACGCAGAGCGCCGCCGTTCCAGAGGTATCACTGTTTTTATTTCAGAGTGTCTGAGAGAAAAGGCACTAAACCAAACCGGGAGAGAGACGGCGTTGCTTAAAATGAAACCAAACGTCACAGAACACCGCTGCAGGTAAACAGCAGGAGAAAACAACGGAAAGTTTCCCCCAACCAGAAACGTCTCAAACAAAACAGCAAAAATAAACTCAACAAAGCTTCGTCTCCAAACAATAACTGACTGATTATTGTGTTCAGGCCTTCATCCGCACAAAACCACAAGAATCATTTCTACCAACAAAACAGTGATTATAAGAACTAAGTTACTGATCAACATGTAATCATTCATGTCAGTTTGAGGGGAAACAAAAACACGTGTCCATATTTTAAGGCAAATTTTTGACACAAAAAAACCTAAATTTTACAAAGATTTTCAGTAAAATTTGCCTGAATGTAAATTAAATATTTTATAACAATAAAACAAAACATTTATGACAAAAAGGAAATCAGTTCATATTTACTGAGGGCTAATTCGGGATATTTTAATGGAAATAAAATAAATCATTTCTGGAATGAAGTTGATCTGAAAATGAAAATAAATAAATTCTGGGTAAAAAAATAGGGATTTTTTTAGATTTAGTTTGTTTTAAAAGAAAAAGCTTCAGTTTACAGGAATGAGGATTTAACACCCGATTATAATTCGCAACATGCGAAATAAAACAAAAATACTCCTGAAATAAATTTTAATGAAAAGAAAAATTCCTGTTCAAGTTTTCTCATATTTTAGCTTTTCTCTCCAAAATACTAATTAAAGATAAATGTCTTGGACAGTTACCAAGTTGCAAAAATAAAGAAATTAGTTTTGTTTGGCAAAACATTTAGAAACACTTCAAAGTTTTCTAATTGTTTTTTTTTTTTTGAGGAAAATTTAGTGAAATTAATTTTTTTTGCGTTTGGAAATACTTTTGGATGCTTTTCTGTTCCACAAAAATGTGAAACTTTGATTTTATGAACTGCAAAGTTACTGAAATATTATGAAGTTTATAAATTGTTGTGTTTTTTCCTTCAGGCTCGTAGCTTATTACACAACAGTTCAAGTATTTTCTGATTTATTATAATTTAATTTAAATGCAAGGAGAAGCTTTTTTTAGTGTCACATAATGAAAACGAAGCGAACAGAACCTAAAGAACGATCCGGATCGTTAGCGGCCTTTCAGTCCGCGCCGCGGCTTCCAGGAACAAAAACAGTCCTTCCTTCACACTGCAGGGGGGCGGGACTTGTTGGTCAGGCTCTGCTGTGATTGGACGGCTTCACAGCTGGTCCTTGTAGTATCCGAGCTTTGCGTAGGACATTTCCCTGCGGAGCTGCATCACCTCCCAGAACATCTGCTCTGCTGCAACAACAAGATTCATTATTAGGACACAGTTTGATCAAGAAGATTTGTTTAGAACCACAAATCTTCTGAATTAAATCTACAGTAGAAAATGTGTTTTTGTGTTTAAACTTTCATTTCAGTTCCGTTTTTAGGTTTTAGGTGTCATTTGTTGAAAATGCTACAAAAAATTGTCTAAAAGTTACAAATTTCAAGCTTGTGAAGGAGCCTCTGACTGAAGACTGTTTATAACATTGTGATGGGTAGCTGCTAGCTGCTCTGCTAATCCACCTCCTTTGCTTTTGCTGCTCCTCTTTTTAATCTGGGGTCAGAGGTCAGGTGTTATTTGAGCTTTTCAGATTCTAATCAGCTGCTTCCAGAAAACAGCCCAGAGTTGGTACATCACATAAAATCCACCGTCTGTTAATCTGGACGGGATTATTTAATCTGCTTACCGTCCTGCTGCTTGACCAAACCCTGGTGGATGTAGCGAATGTAGGTGAAGAAATTACACACCGCTGTGATCTGAGGAGGACAGACGGAGTTACTGTTTGGACCGGCAGACAGAAAAATAACTTAAACATTTAGTCCTCAGAAAATTAAATATTCGGATTAAATGCATCAGCGTGGGGAAAGTGCGCCCCCTGTTGGAGGATTTATTATTCTCAGATCGTTTTCCTGATTCTGTCAGAGGCTTTTATTGTGAAACTTTAAAAACATGTAAACAGTCATAATCTCAGTGATTTAGTTTATAATGACAAAGATAATTCTGTCAATAAATTCACTTCTTTAACAAAATGACTGAAATAATACAACTTTAATGTTTCTGATTTATAGAGATTAATCTGCAAAGAAGGACAAGAAACAAAAATTTAACTTCATTGATTTCACTCAAAATAATATTTTTTAATTTTGATTTGAAGTTTCAGTAATTATCTCAGGATACAGGAGATAAATGATTCTGATGGAGAAAAAAGTAAAATGTAAACACTGAAAATGTAGAAATGGAAAATTAATTTATCATTTTTCCATGAATCTCTAAAATATTAAAATCAAACTGTTCAGAGTTTCAATTTATTTATTCAGTATTTTCTTAGAGACGATAATAAAAACGAAACATACAAAATTATTCTGGAAAAATTAAGACTTTATTGTCATATTGCTACTTTATTCTGGTAATTTTATTACTTTATTTTTGGAATTATTTTTGTTTTTGCGTCGCTCTAATTCTCTGATGTAGAGAATCTAGTTTGTGTGGGGAAAAAATCAATTATTTAAAATTATAAAATCACCTAACAATCAAAATGTGAAAAAACCCAAGACAAAACTAGCGTATAATGTCGGAAGCAGCTCAGTTTCAGCAAAATTAATAATTGTCAGAACAATTTGATAAAATGTGGTGATTTTGTTGCAGTGATGGTTTGGTCCTGCAGGGGGCAGCGTCTGTACTTACTCTGTATCTGCAGAAAGGAGAAACGTAGTAATAGTTGGACGAGTCTCCAAACTTGATTCTGTGCTTACAGGTTTTGGTCTGACCGCTCAGGGCGCACTTTCTATCGGAAACAGAAACATTTCGCTTCAGAAACAGAAGAAGAAGAAGAATCAATCTGCAGATTAACAGGCAAGGAGAGAGGAAGGAGAAGAAGAGGAGAGGTCGGCTCTGATCGCTGGAGGAGAGAGTTAGAGGAGTGTTTGGAGGAGCCAGGTGGGGCGATGGCAGCAGAATGCTGAGTCAGACTTACGTGACGAGCGCTGCCCTTCGCCCGCTAGAGGAGGAATTAAGGGAAGATGAAGATGGAGTGAAAGTTCGATGGAGGAGGAAGAGGAAATATGTGTTTTCTCACTTTGGGCCGCCGCATTCCACCGCCGACGCTTTGACCACAGGAAGCGGCTGGAAACCCACCGGCTCCACGCTCAGCGTGTTCTGCTCCACGGCATCCAAGATGGCCGAACCCAGCTGGAGGAGAGAGAACAAACTGAAAACCAGGGACAGAAATTCAATTAGTATTAAAGCGAACTCCTCACTGTTAGCTTCGGTGTGCTAGCAGCGTGTAGCTC